CTATCCATGTCTGACTGAAAAAATAACTGAAACTAGAAATAGGCATTCTCAACCTAGAGATCACTTGGGCCTTTAGTAACAGTGATAGTTCTAGGAACATCGAAGGCACGGGTGTCAAACTCAATTGAGTCATGTGATGTATCATGATGTATCGCAATGTTTTTTGCCTTTGTGGAGCCAGGTGGGCTTGGCTGCATGTGATGAATTCAGCCCATGGGCAGCCAGTTTGACAGGCCTGTCCTCAGTGGTGGGTTGCCCCCAGTTTGGACTGGTTCTATAGAACTGGTAGTAAAACCGGCGGGAGGCTCCACCCACTGACCCTGACATCATCAGAAGTGATCTGCGCATGCGCAGAAGGCGCGTGCGCGAGCGAAGCAAGCACGCATGTGGGATCCCATTGCGAACCAGTAGTAAAGGTAGGTAGAATCCAGCCCTGCCTGACCTAAGGCACATTTCCTGTGCTGAGAGTGCCTCCCCATTAAGAAAACTCCCAAATTCCTATACCAAGGATCCATTCACTCACATACATCCACTGACAAGATTCAATATTGATTTCTTTGTTCTTATCCAACCAATTCTAGATACCACTTTGGAGCATACATATATCCTACTGAATAACAATAGCAATAGCACTTAGACCAGTGGTGAAATCCGGCCGGATCTATCCAGCTCACACGATCCGGTAGGGCCGGCAGCAGGAGGTTCTGCCCACACGCCAGGATGTCATCATGTCCCATTTTTGACCCTCTACGCATGCACAGAAGGCTCTACGCATGCGCAGAAGTGGCGCTCACGCTCACATTTATGATCCAGTAGCAAAGGTACAGTAAGTGCAGTTTATCCCTGACTTATATACCGCTTCACGGTGCTTTACAGCCCTAAGTGGTTTACAGAGTCAGCATGTTGCCCCCAAATATTTGGGCCCTCATTTTTCCCACCTCGGAAGAATGGAAGGCTGAATCAACCTTGAGCCTGATGAGATTTGAACTGCCAAATTGAATCAGATGTCATAGACAGTATCACCAGCATATTGATGGCAACTCCTAATGGCTGCTGCCATAGAGAACAAGATAAGGTGCCTTATAATATTGGTAGCATAACTGCCCAGATGTCAGAGCACAAATTAGTATCAGATGATTAATAATAAAATTTATTGAAAGATCCTTCAAAACCATAAAAGGTCTATTTCTTTCCCATTTGAGATCATTATCAGGACAATGAAGAATGATTCATTCATATACCCATCTCTCAATCCAGACAGAAGTGGATTAAAATACTTTATTTCTTTGTGAAATGTTGCCTGTCTTCTCTAAGTGTCCAAAAGGGGTCAAATTTGTAACTGGGCAGTAATTGTTATAAATTTCTGAATCCTGTAAAAAAATTTCTTTAAGATGTGGATGCATTACTACCTTTTGTAAGATTAGCAGTAGCATTTATTACATAAAACATTTTTACTCATTGGATCCACTAGTCTCACAGATACTAGCTGCATTGAATAAACCAAGATGGGTAAGGCTCAGTTGAACAGACTGTAGGCTATCTAGCTACCAGTGTCTTGTCTATGTTCTCCAGCCTCAAAAATTGAAAGGAATCCTACATCCGGGGTCCCCAACCTGTGGGCTGCAGTCCACTAGAGGGCCGTGAGGGCTTTGCAACTGGGCTGTGGAAACAGTCAGCGAGCGTGCACGCATGCACGTCCTCACTTGTGCGAGCGGCAGGTGAGCCCATGCACTTCATTTGCATGAGCGGCAGGCGCTTGCCAACAGTTTGCGCATACCATCCCCTCCCCTCCGCCAGTCCACAAAGCCGGAAACATTGGGGAACTCTGTCCTACATAACTGGACCAGAGAATGCTTTGACTCCATCACTAGATATTTATATCAAGGGAAAGATACAAGAATCCATTGGAGTTGGGCAACTTAAGGATGGAAGATGGATGGATGGATGGATGGATGGATGGATGGATGGATGGATGGATAGAAGAAAGATGGATGGATGGATGAAAGATGGATGGATGGATGTGGGGGAGGGAGGGAGAATGATAGATAGGTAAGGCACAAGTTCCACCATGAGATCATTCACAACAAATGACAATATGCCCTTAACTATTCCAGAAAGCTCTGCTTGCTGTGTACAGTATTTGCAGGATCTAAAACAAATCTTTTTTATTCTTATGAAATAGGCATGGTTATATACATTGTTATATTTGTCCAGCTGTCCTCAGAATAGGTATTACACCATTTATACTCCAGGTGTCCCTTGGCCCATTTCATTGCTTGGAGCTCCTCAGAAAAGCAGGGGGCTTAGGATATGAAAAAGCCAAAAAAGGGCATTTGGAGGCAACTTTGTTCATTTTGTCTTACCTTCTGAAGTTCAGCTAAGACTTTGACAGACTTATCAGCTTTGCCTTCTGAAAAATTTCCCCAAACAATTCAAGTATTTCTTGCATTCTATAAAGCTCTGGGAGGAGCATCTTAATGTCCTCTGTTTCCACTTATCCCATTAACACAGCAAAGCAAGTAGCAGGAAGTACAGCATGTTTGCCAAATGCTTCTAAAAACACAAGTGCATGCCAACAGTAGGCTTAAACAACAGTTACAGAGAACCTTTTTTCTCAGGTTTAACACATTTCGAGAGCATTTTCTGCCATATCATTGGAATTGGTTTGAGCCTCTTACAAAAGCTTATTCTTATATAGTAACTTCTAGATTTGCAGAAGCAACGTATGCATTCATTGACTTAAGCTAGCAAAGCAAGGCTGAAGCTATAAAACCAACAAACAAGTATAGTAGTTGCATCTATATAGAACATAAACAGATTTTGTGATAAATTTGTGATAAGCAAGTTTACGCAGAATAAACAAACATATTTAGATCTAGTTCATTGTAATAGTTGCAGTGGCAGGAAAAAAATTATCAAAGGAATTTTCTGCACTGCTCATTCCTCAGTTGTAAATAAATTCCCCTTCATTGGTATTTCACAAAATGTTTTTTCTTTTCCATATGATCTGGTGATCTGTAATCTAGAATGGCCTGCAAAGCCTAAAAAAAGAGTTAGTTGTCCAGCTGTTGGATTGTTTGCTGTTTTGACTACAGTATTCTAGCAACAATTGCATTACTAAACATAGTTCAGAGTAACTTTAAAAACTGTTTCCAGAATCTGAAAATGTATCCATGCAATCTATTCAAGCAACATACCTTTTGTTGTTATTTATATTCAGAAAAAGTAGAGGCAAAATGAGGCAGGATGAAAAAGCTGTTAATTCTCACTACCACTACCCCCAGCATTAACTACCTGATGAAGCGCTAGAAAGAAATAACGGATCAGTCTGAATTGCAATCTGTCAACAACTCCAATAAGAGAATTAGTAAAACCAACAGCTGCCCTTGAATTTCATTGGGAGAAAAAAGCCGACACAAAGTACGCTTACGTAAAACAGAGGGGACAGTGATGATGACAACATGCAAGCCAGACACTGGCCTCAAATTAGCAAAATAAGACTGGAGTCCTACTGTGTATCCCAAGTTGAAGACGACCAACTCAGTACGGCATAATTTTGAGTTGACACCTAGTTTTACAGAATGGTGTTTTAATGCCTCGTATCCCACAAACAGATACACCATACTGGGCGACAGTCTTTGCAGAAATACGATTCTTTTCTTATTTTAGAACGTACAAGGCAAGTGTTGAGTGAAACTGAAATTAAAGCATCCTCACAGTCCAGATATCATTTTTCTCAAGAAGAGCTGATACCAATATGCAAGAAAGATTTAAACTACCAAGTTTTAAACTGTTTTGAAACGCCTACATCAGCCTTTCTCAGCCTCATGCCATCTTTCAGAACAACAAACAATATGGCTTTGGTACAATGGCTGAAGTTTCTGGGAACTGTCATCCCCATGGCATCAAGTTGGAGAAGATAGGAGTAAATGGGGGGAAAAAATAGTAAGAATCAAGGAAATGGATGGTATGGAATGGTTGTATTAAGCAGTATCCAAGACAATAGGGTGATCATAGAACTGGGATAAAACGATACTTGTACTTTTCCCTACCTGTTGTACACCAGCTGTGTTAATTCCATCACCCTCAAGATTCGTGTTGGCTAGACATTATGTATAAAGGCTGGTAAAAATGGACTATAGCACCCCTCCATTTCTCTTCCAAATTTAATATACACCAATCTGGGCGTAGAGGAGAAACATGAACAGATAAATTTGCTATCCCTTACTTCTTCTTCTCAGAGGCAATTCTGGTTTTGTCATATCAAATAAGCTGAAATGTCACGCAAACATTTAATATGTAATGCTCCAGATCAAAATATTGCATTTAGTGATCATAGGGACGAAAACAACTAAAAGTTAATATCTCTCTATCCTGTGAGATAACCAGAGTTTCTGTCATTGCATCTTTTAACACTTCATTGTAGACATGAAGCAGGAAGTCAAGATGTACAGTATTCCAAGTTCACATCCAATTTCCAACTCTCAGCTGTTGTTCACCAAAATTAAGCAAAGTTGATGATTCTTCATCCCATTATTTGCTTGTGGTACACAACACAGCCTATTCAATAACTAAAACCACTTTTCTATGTCACTGTAGAATAAAAAAAGGAGGAATATCACTGCATTATCATAGCTAATATCTTTTCCTAATTTAATAATTTTGCAAGTACAATAAATGAAAGCAATAAAAGAATAAAAAGAACAGAAAATACATTAAAAGATGTACAAGTATTACAGTTAGCTAAAATTCAAAACAACATTAATCTAATTTGTATGTTGGAATATCTCATTTCAATCTGAAATATTATATTAGTAGTTTTTCTTTGAATTGAATAAATATTTCTTGTATTAGTAGTAAAAAAAGGCAGCATCTATGTTCAATACATTTAGATCACCATACAATTATAATATTATGTAAAAGAAAACCTAAACTTTGGATGTGATCTGAACCTATTTGTAAGAATTATAATTCAAACATACATAGTTTCTACATTGTGGTAAATTCTGTATCAGATTTATTGTTTATACATAAACTTAATATTGACATTACTTCATCCCAATTCAACCATCAGTTTAGCCATTCAATTAATATAATGCGCTATAGCTCACAAATGTTTGGTTTTTAATAAAATTTCTTCGTCTGAAAAAGATCTACCAAACTGGGTTTTGTTTTGTTTTTTTGCTACAATAGACTGACAGAGATAGTAGAATATACTCCTACAATTTGCTTTCTCATTCTTCTATGGAAGAAATTGTATTTTCAGTTGAAGACATACAGAGGGATACAAAATTCTTGCAGCCCTTACATGTAGAAACCCAAATCAGTATACCTTATGGGAATATAAAGTTTAGCAATATTAACAAAAATCTGACAGTCTGGAATGGAACATTTATTTCATTCTATTATAAATCATTTCCCACAACTGTTGTACTTTACACGACATAACATCACACAGGAAAAATGATCCAGTATCATTAGCACATTTCCAGGAATATTTTAAGAATAAATTGTCTAATCAACACTAGAGTAAAACACCACCAGTAAAATATCTGATAACCAAATTGTTGTAGTGGCTAAGGCATCAAGACTAGAAACTGGGAGACTGTGAATTCTAGTCCTACTTTGGGCATGAAGCCAACTGGGTGTCCTCAGGCAAGTCACTTTCTCTGAACCCTAGGAAGGCACTGGCAAATCACTTCTGAAAAACCTTGCCAGGAAGGCTCTCTGAGAATCAGATATGATCAAATGGAAGGAAAAAAATCTGATACCAATTTTCTCTGAGGATAGTACTGACTAAATATTTTTATCCCGTTGATATTATTGTTGCATATTGATCGTTCTCTTTAAATTCTGCATTCATTTAATCACTCTTTAACTTGTTCACTTTGTGAATCAAACTTCCCTGCAATTTATAGTTAAGCTCTAATAAATGGTCTTAATTAAATGTAATACATTTTGAAACTTAGATCTCTAAGCATTTTCTTTCGTTTTCATAATTCTTTTTGGACACTAGTGGGCCAGGAGGTCCTAACTTTCCTAACTTGAAATAGTTAGCATTATATTTCTCCAAGTCTAAGTAATTGTTCTTAAATAAATCTTTATTATTTTTTGTTAAACAAATCCCCAGATAAATGATCTTTTTAGCAATGATGTTAAAGCTCCTTGTTTCAGGAAATAGATTTCTTCCTGAAATAAGTTTCATACCCATATTTGGATCTTGTATTTATTAATCCAATAGACTGATAATGAATCATACTGCTGTATATATTCTATTAAGCTTTATTAAGAATCCTTTGGATAAATAATTATAAATTCAACATAATCTCATATAATTTTGTTTTTGGTTTGACAGTTTGATTTCAAAATGTCTATTATTCTGTTGCATCCTATAACAACCATCTTTTTAGTGGTTAAAGTTTAGTTTTGTATTTCATCTGCTTCTTGTGTGTTGTTAGATGAATGTAAGTGTGTTTGGACAGAAAACTGAAATTCAGTTAATATGAGGAATTCAGTTAATGCAACAAATGTACAAAGCATTCATTTTATAAAACAAGAAATGAAAACAGGAGTTTATATATTTTGCACATTTTTGTCTACAAAAACTGTGTGTGGAATTTCCTTTATATTGGGCATCTGAAGGATGAACCAGACTGACACAGCAGACTTCATAATTTAACTACACAAAAATGAATTTTAAATCTCATCTAAACTTTGAGCCAAGCTTTGCTTTTCTTCAATTTATTTACATCCCTTGTTTGGTATCTCATTTCCATTTCATTTGTTTAATATCCATTTGTAGTAAGATAAAAATGATCAACTCTCTTTTTTCCATTGAAGTTTCTTTGTACTGCAAAATGCACAAACTGATGTTTAATGTAAGTGGGATGGCAAGATACGAAGGAAGTTAGGCTGTCCACATATTTCCTGCTAATGAACTACAAAAGCTCTGAACTGCGGGGCACTTGTGTGTTTTTTGTTTTTGTGAAGTATGAAGCTTAATGTCAGATGGGAAGTACCATACATTGAATTCATTTTCTTTCTTCCTTTTTTTTATTAATATTTTTTCATTGAATTCATTTTCATTCTGAAAATCATACAGGTCGCAAATCACCTTCAGATAATTCTCAAAACTGACAAACCTTAGCAGAGGCTTTCTTGAGGAGAAAACAGATGTTTCCTATTTAAAAAGTTTTTTAAATTCATACATGCTGTTATTAATTATGTGAACAGTCTCAATGTATTCAAAATTAAATATGAGATGGAGATTGATAAAGAAAGTGGATAATAGTATCTTTCTAGAGAAGCAAATATTTGTACGATAATGCAGTGCTTCTTAATTTTAACAGATTAAGTTTTATGGACTTCAAGTCCCAGAACTCCCCAGCCAGCCTTGAAGTTTATACATCTTCAAGTTACCAAGATTAAGATAATTTTTAAAGCCCCATATATGTTTCCAGCTAGCATTATTTCTTCTGTCTTTTCCTTAAAGTCTTGCCTCGTGCTTTTTTGCCCTCAAACACTGGCCTGGCTGTCACCATCTGCATTTCTTCCTCTGCACTGGAGCTGCTACTCCTTGCTTCACTTTGTGCAGATGCAACTTCTAGGCTAGTTTTGTGACTTGCCATGTTCGTTTCGAGCATCTTTGCATTCTCCCCTTTTCTGTGCTTTCTGGAAGCTTCATTCTCCAAATCATCAGCTGAAGACTCGCTGGATGCCTCCGAGAGCAGAACCTCTCCTATGAAGCCACCACACAGAACGCTCTGTTGCTCAGATGGTGGACATTTTTTCCGTTTGCTTCCTCGTTTCTGGCATCCAGCCCTTCCTTTATTGAATGCCTGCCCTTTCTTCTGTTTCAATTCTTTTTCTAGGACAGCAGTTGCCTCCTGGACTTCACTGTCGTCTTCCTCCTTCTCTTTTCTCCTCATGCAGGTCACAGCTCGGCGAACCCTCTGACTCTTGATGGCTTGTTTTTCATGTTGTGCCAGTCTGAAGAAGGAGTCAATACGCAGCTGAGTCTACAAAAGAAAGAAAAGTACCCCTGTAAGATTCTGTAAGGGTTATGGCGGATACTATCTGCAGTGGAGAAAACATGCAACAAAATGCACATCCTTGACAAGAGAATATTTGTTCAGAGCTCCGGCTGCTTGTGCCTAGTCCTGATACATTTAAGATAGGGTAGGGACTATCTAGCCCTCCAGCTGATGCTAAACTACAGTTCTCAGCAACCTCATCTAGCACTGACAATGGTGAGGAATGCTGGGAAATGAAGTTCCACAATACTTGGATTGCCAGATATTCCCTACCATCTCAAGATGTTTTATGGAGGTCAAGCAGGCCAATTCACTCCAAGTCTATATTCGGTTTCCATTAGGGTTCGGCCAATGTTCTAATATCCCACCCTAGTCTCTTAGTAGCCCCATTTAGGTTCCATTTTTGTTGATACAGAAGGATTCCATTGAAATAAATAACAGATTCATGTCCTGTAGATGTTTTGGCTCCAGTACAGGCTGCAACCGGCAGTTTGCTCTTAGAGGTACCTATACAACTTTTTAAAAGCTTTCCCAGGGCTTGATACCAGACTGCTTTTATAGGTGGATAGCAACCTGTTTATTTAGACAACTTTTAAGAAGCAATCATTTTGTACAATCTGCTGTTGTTTGTATTGCTATTATGTCATTAAAATATTAACTCTTGATGGCCACATGTTTACTTTATGCTTCCTGTCAGAGTTTACTTGGAAAAATTACAAATTACCATGTTTTCCCAAAAATAAGACCTTGGCTTATATTTTTTTGAATCCCGAAATAAGCGCTTGGCCTTATTTTTGGGGAGGTCTTATTATTTTGGGGCGTGTGGAACAAGATGGGGCTCCTCTTGCTGTCTTACCTGATTTCCAGTTCTGCGGTTAAATATTTTCGGGGAGGGTTTATTTTTGGGGAGGCTTATTTTAATGCATGCGCTCAGAAGCCTGATTGGGCTTATTATCAGGGGATGTCTTATTTTTGGAAAAACAGGGTATTAGAAAAAAACATGCAGATTGCAAAATAGCAGCAACCAACAACTTATACAATTGTCAGGACTGTTATATTTTTGTGCTTTTTCTACATATATATTTGCCTAGATTTGACCCTAACCAAGTCTGGGATATAGAAAATCAGACTCCCTTCATCTAGAATCTTTTTTGCCATTTCTAATCAGCTACTACATGACTGAAGCCTAGTCTTTTGACAATGAACCCTTCATCTAACCAATTCTAAATGCTGGGATTATAAACACTGTGCATTCAAACAGTGACTCTGCCATTCCCTATGGTTGCTTTCAATCTCTGAACAAACAGGAATATTCTGGGGAAAATAGCCTGCTTTATTCCAGGACACTGACCCGTGAAAACAAGTGGTCTAGATATAACTTTTGTCTACTCAGTATTAAGATTCAGTACTGCTCTTTTCAGACTGTATATAAAGTAACAGTTCTGAAATAATGAAACACATAGCTTACTTCCTTATTATATTTTCATCTGATCCAACCAATTTTTATACCAAATTCTAATTACTCATCTGCTTTTTAAAAATTTATTTTCAGAGATGTTTCAGTTCCCACAACTGATATAGTATGATAACTTAAATATTAATTATATATTTTGTGGAAGGGAGAAATATAAGCTGTATTCATTATTACACGTACAGATAGTTTTGTAAGTTTACGGCAAATCTGACCTGGACACTTCAAGTCTACCAAGATCACTGTCAAAGAAAAGGTTTCATTTTCAGTAATACCTGTTGAATATTCAGTTGTTTGAGAACAGGAAAGAGAACTTCGTCCGTTTTTAACTTAGTCCATCCAAAATGACTTTGGCAAAATATGCAAACAGTTAAGGACCAGTAGTAACAAGCAAGCATTCGCGAAAGATTTCTAAAGATGTGTCTGAATTAGACATTTTGAAGCCCTTCTGCTAATTTTGAACTTACATTACTTTTCACATGCAAAAACTGTATTCCCAAACTATTTTGTACTGACAATTGCACCAGGCAAGTAAACAATGATCACTTTTTAAAAAACCAATAGACCAAATATGGGGTTTAATATGCTGAGCTTCTTAATTTTATTTATACTAGGGTAGAGACTCTGCATCAACCAAACATATAACAAGTAATATATAAGGAAGTGCTACTAATTAGTATTCAGAAAAATTAAATTTGCATTAGCCAAATAAGTAATTTACTAGCTATAGAATCTAGAATTCTTCCACTCAAAGAAGGAAACAAGAAACCACCATACTGAAACACAGTTCATCTATGCCAGGGGTGTCAAACTCAAGGCCCATGGGCCAGATCCAGCCCATGTGGTACTTAGATCTGGCCCATGGGGACCCCCCGGTCTCAGTTTTCACTGGCAGAGGATTGCAGGAGGCCGAAAATCCAGACCACCACAGGCTTCTCCGACACGAGTGATGTCAAGCTGGCCACACCCACCCCAGCCATGCCTATCCCGGCCACACACACCCCGAGGTCAAACACAACCCTGATGCAGCCCTCAATGAAATTGAGTTTGACACCCCTGATCTATGCAAACGTTTGCACTAGAATATCTTTTTTTTTTATAAACAATTTGTTAAGAGAACAAACGGTGGAAAGGATATTCTCTAATTTGTTCCACATTAGGTCTTCCCCAAGCAAAGGATGCCTTTGACTCATCCACCACAGGGTGCAAATAAGCTTCCGCCACAGAAAGATTTGGGAAACCAGGAGCAATTTCTATGTGCCGCAGTTTTTTCTTCACTTTAGTATCATATGGATTAGGACGTATTTTCTTATTCTTTTGAGCCTCAGCCCACCATTCCCTAAAAAAGAAGAGAAAGAGAGAAAAAGAGGCATATTTTAAAAAATGATTTGACTTAGGCTTTGGAAATGAAAAAAATGAAAGCCGCACAATGAAAATTGCCTACAGGAGTTTCAAGAGAGGCTCCAGTCCACGTCCAGGGAACTCATTCAAAATCTCCATTGCAGTTACATAGCCAACGTTAGGGATGCCCTCAGTGTAGTCGCTGCCCAGGAGATAGGCCAGATTAATCAACTTGTTTCGATCCAAGCCTGAGGGGGGGAAAGGAAGTGATCATGTGCAAGTTTCTTATCAGGTAGCAGAAAAAAAAGAATTTCTTTCTTTCTTTCTTTCTTTCAGGGATTCAAACAAGGTAACTCGAGACAGAGTACAACAAAAACAAACAATAAACAAAGGAAGCTAACTATACAATGTTAAAAAGAACAACCCAATATAGAAAATACAAAATGATGACCCACGGGGATAATTAGTCAACTAAAAGAGGATATAAATACCTTGGGGGGGGGGGAGTTATAGCCACTTATAGCAAGCAGAGTTGGGACCTGTTATATATTGGAGAGAGTTTGTTCCTATGCACATATCCTAGGAGCACACACCCCCAATGAGAATTTATTTGGGTAAGTGGAACATACTTATATCCGTTTTGTTACATGGAAATTAGCATTGGGAATGTCAGAAAAAACATAAAAGTAAATTAGTTTATCGAAGTATAAAATACAAAGAAAAAAAACATGGAAAAGTAAGAATTCTGAAAGGAAGGGAAAAAGAGGAGGTATAGAGTAACTAATAAAAAACTAATAAAAAAGTTTAAATTTGGAAGAAATATAAAAATAAATTAAATGAAGCAGGAATAGCAGACTTTAGAAATATTTAGGGTACACCAAAAAGAGATGTTATTCTGTAAGAATAAACGGGTGCGCCAATCTTGAAGACTGAATATAAAACTGAGAGATCACGTATGTTGAAGTTGTTTGATCCTACAGGTGAATAAAGGCCAAATCACAAAGAAGTATATGGAGGAAGCATTAATAAATCAAGAGGGAGGGGTAAACTAAAAACGTTGCATTGAGATGGTGCTGATAAGATAATCAAACAGAGAGAAATAATAATCTGAAGAATAAAAGGGAATGTATAACAAAGTGTACAGATAAAATGGAAGCAATACTTTTTTGTAAGGCAGAATGGTATGGAGAGGAATAATTATTAGTTTGGCATAAACTAGATTTAGCCTCTTCTTTATCCTTATCTCATGATTCAATTCCTTTGGCTTTCTATTTCTTCCTCATCGTCTGCCCTTTGTTTACAGTTGTTTACTTCAAAAGGGAGTAGTGTGATGAGTGTGCGAGTTTACCACTGAAATTAAGTTATATCTTTGGAAAAAGATAAAAGAAACCATGATTCAAGGTCTCATATCATGAATTACCTAGCTGATTTTGGAAGTCCACAAACTGATAATATTCGACGTACTTGCTTTGATTGAAGAAGTTTTTGTACACATGACGTCCTCCAAACAACCAAATATCACTGTCATCTGTGATTGTCCCAGAAGTTTGATCAGTAAGATCCAAGACAGCACACTGAGCTTCTGCTTCCATTGGAGCCTCGATGTATGGAATGCCAAAGAGGCGCAGAAGTTCCTGCGAACAAGCAGGAAAAACCATTCCAAAATTAGTTGGTGGTGAAATCTGCTAAGGGTCGGTTCATCCATCACACATGCTAATTTCCTGGTGATGAATGGACTTGTAGAAGATACATCTTTAAAACTGTTCTTCAAAGCAAGATTTGGGCATTATTTTTATAATTAGTCAGATACATTAACCAGTTCGAGCAATAATTAGTGTAAATGAATCAGATGCAATTTTTTTCAGATACTAAGAGCAATAAAGACTCTTAGTATTTAGTAAATTCTTTTTTATTTTGCTTTATTTTAAGATTTCTAGCGTAGAATATGAGAAAAAACAAAGGTTTAGGGTCTAACAATAGAATATAATTGGCAGAAAACATATTTGTTTTTGTTAAAAACCTAAGAAGCATAAGCTAGCTGCAATTTGAAATGTATTTTATTCAGCCTTCTATATATATTATGTTAATTAATACTGATTATGAGTTACAGGAACAATTTCAAAAACTATTAAATTTGCAGCATTCCTGATGAATTGAGATATCTAGGAGTAATTATTGCTAAAATTGGCACCAAGTAAAAAATAAAAATCTAGTTTGGTGTTGTGATTAAGGCATCAGATTAGAAACCAGGAGACTGTGAGTTCTAGTCCTGCCTTAAGCATACAGCCAGCTGGGTGACCTTGGGCCGGTCACTCTTTTTCAGCCCGAGGAAAGACGTAATGGCAAACTACTTCTGAAATCTTGTGCAGAGAAATGCAGACATGTCCATGCAGTTGCCAGGAGTGATTCGAGGATATGCCTCACCCTCTTGATAGAATCGTGATATATGCCTATTTTTATTTCTAAAACACTCAATTCCATCACCATGTTTTATTTTCTTTAACAAAAAAAATGATAAGCTATATCATATAAGCAAAACACATCTAAATATGAAATATTGTTTTGATGGATTTTATTAATGATAACTTGTATCATTAGGAATTCAAATAGAAGCTTGTGAAGCACTACTGCTGTTTGTATTGGAAACGCCTACCAAGGAAACACCTTTCAGGTTGAAAGGATTAGCCAGTGACATTGACCTGTGCCCAGGGGATGACCGAGGCGGCTCCCTTCATGTCTCTGTCATTTTCCCATCAAAGTGGTCCTTTCGGTTCAGTTCTGAACAGGAAAGGCACCTTTGGGACAACCATGACCTGGATGATTGAGAATCTTCATAGACAATACAATGCTACTATGAATATTTTCTCAAACAACACTGTTCGGGCACTTCACATCCCATCTAAAATACAGATTTCTCTAGATAGTCTTGCCAAATCAACACTCTCATTTTCCTCTTCTATATAATAGGCCGTCTCCATCACCCGCTGAGAACAAATGAAATAGATCATAAACACAAACCTGACTCTCTAAGAACATCTGTCCTGTCACAGTGGCAGCTGTACGTTCCTGCTGCTGTTTCTGAGCTTGAAGTGCTGTTTGTTCAACAGACAAATTTGTTTCCAAGACCTCCAAATCCTCCTACAAAGATACAAACCAAAACATTGTTAAATCTAAAGTACTGAGGTCTGTTAACTGTCTTCCTTTAAGCTTCTTATAGGTATAATTAGAAACCAATTCTCTCAGTTCCTGCCAAAGGACCCTATAAAAATTAAATCTAGGAGAGTTATGTCATAGGTGGTAATATTAAATTAGGTGTGCTCCCACCAACAAATCCACAATTTTCATCTTTAAATGAACACACATATACACACACACCTTTTCCAGTGCTCACAATTACAGGGAAAAGTTATCCCTACGTATTTTTAAGTCATCTCATTCTTCATTATTTCCACGTGTCTCCCCAAAGTTTCCAAAATAAAAACGGTTCACAGCTCATAGTTCTGCCTTGTTATTCCTCAAATACAGATAGTTGAAAAATAATTACCATATTAATATTCTGCCATTCATTAATTTCAGCTTTCTCTGTGCTTTCCATTCCAGCATTTTGTAGCATAGCAAGTTCTGCATCTTCACCATTTTCTGATTTATTCTCTGTAGCATCCTCACTCCCCTCTTTCATTTCCAATGAAGCTTCAGACGCCACTCCAACCTCCTCTTCAGTGGAGGCAAGTGATGTCTCAGATGTTCGATCTTGTTCACCACTTGGTTCAGTCTCTACTTCAATGAAACTACCTATAAAAATATTGCATTATATATTACATATCATGTTAATAGTGCATAACTGATTTTGTTGCATTATGTTAGATGCCTTCTTGCCATCGCTTGCCACAATATTCTTTGCATTTTATCACTATTTAGTTAATAAACTTTGGCTGCTGATATAATATACACATCTATCTGTATTTTTAAATGGGCTTTACTTTTTTTTATGAAATGAAAACATTTTTCAATATTAAAAAATAGCACTAGAAGCCAACTTAAAAAATGAAAAATGCATGCCTTCCAAAACCAAACAGTTTAAAATCAATCTCTGAATTACCTGAACATGCATATTCACAAGCCAACTTGCCAGGAAAGTTCATAGAATTTCTTACTTTCCGACTTATATAATTTTAAAATTATTCCAGTTAATGTTAATGTTTAATGTTACATTAAAACTTACATACCATCAGAATCACTTTCTTCAAACCGTGATTGATGTTCCACACTCTCTTCAAGTTTAGGGATATTGAAAGGAAACAAAAATTCATTCTGTGTACAGGACACATTTTTTTCTGAATGGCTAGCCAATTCCTTTAAACACTGAAGTTTTCCAGTTTGGGCTAACTCTGCAAAACCTGAATGACTTGAGCCAACTGATGGAATTGGAGACAAAGACATTTCTGGCTGCTTTATGCTGTTGTTTGGACTCTGACATGGTTCAGGGCTTACATCTATTTGAGAAATCCCGGTTTCTACACTTTTTTCTTCATTTTCTTCCTCAGGCAAAAGTCGTTTTTGCACAGCAGGAATGCATGGGCTTTTTTTAATATTTCTACTTTCCAATTTCTGTACTGGTAAAAGTTGTTTTTCATTCTGCTCTTCAGGAACTGCTTCTTCTTCATCATCTGAACTGCTAGCAAGATGGTCCTTCATGGACGTTCTTTCTCCTTGAGTAATATTAGTCCTATTGATAAATGGTGCTGTGATAATCTCCTCCTCCTCCTCCTCCTCCTCCTCCTCACATAATGCCTGCTGAATAGCCTTGATTGTTCGTGGAGACATGTTACCTTTGTCTACACTGGGCGTGAACTCAGACTTGTCTAAATTAAGGTGGTTCTTGTTTCCATCTTCCAACTCATCTTCTGAGCCGCTTCCCAAAATAGCAGCCTGGATAGCAAGCATCGTTCTGGGAGAAGGGGGCGTTGCATAAGCACTACTGGTTGATTCCATTGAAAGCTCACATGTGACTGGCTTAACTTGCATGTCGTTGATATTTTTGCTAGGTTTGAAATCTTTCGACATTGTAGAAGAATGGATTGCAGATGTCACAGAACTAGAAGTATTTCCTTTGGACTGGGTACCTGAAAGAGAAAAGGCATAAACAAAGGAATTTTATTCGTATGGTAAAAGAGATGGAGTAAAATTTAAATGCAATTTTTAAAAACATTATTTGAAACTACGCTACAGTAATCAGTTATTGCGGAACTCTCAATAGTACTCTGAATCTGTTCTGCCCCAGCTACAGATCCCGAAGAATGCAGCACACACAAAGTCTGTACAAACCTTAGTTTACTAAATTAAATCAGTCTTTTTCAAACAAAGGCTGTTAATTAACTTTCTTAACAGCCTAAAAGACTCCAAAGAATAAATAATCATAATCTTACTAGGATTGGCAGAAAGCCCAGAAGTAATTTGCAGGTAACTGATAAAAGAACTAAGATCAAGACACGAAGGAAAGTGAACTAAGTTGTTCCCTGCAAATTGCCTCAGTCATCATCCATCCTTAAATAGGCTAAAGGAGTGGCCAATTAGCCCCAAGCCTTACTCTCGAGGAGACCTTTTCCTGAGGAGCCACTCCTGCCTTTTGGCAGCTCTGCACACCCGTGCATCGAGAAGAGGCTCCTCCTCTTCTTCCTCTTCACCCATGGAAGCTTCTGGAGGTTCTGAAGGCCCTAGCTGAATCCCCGCCTCTGGCACCACATCTTCTCCAGCCTCCTCACTGTCCAACTCAAATGCCAGCTGGACAGGCTGCTGGCGCAACACCACACCAGCCTCCTCACTGTTGGAATCAGCTACTAGCTGCACAGGCCACTGACGGGCCACAACAGAATCTGGAGGATTCCCTTGATACCTTTTAATAGGATGTAATGAGAGGTATCTTCAGATACAACCCTCCTGGTTTCCAATTCTTTCAAGAAACCCCCATCTTCTTCATACTGGTGCTGGATTTGGCCAGAGTGTTGTTCATTCATCTCCTTCTGCACTTTTTCTATGTGTCGATTTAAGCTGCTTTTCTTAAGCAAACCCTTGAGCTGATACTGGGAGAAGTCATCGGATTCCTTGAAAGAAATAATGGAATTAAATGACAGTCTGAAAGAACTAGACTTCCTATATTTTTAGAATACATGTATTGACAAAAACAGGATTTGAAACAAGAAGGATTTCTAGAGGCAAAAGCAACATCATGTTTAAAATTTCCTCAAAGGATTTTATTTCATTTTTTAATAGTACCAACATTCTGGGTCTTGGTGGGATGAACATATTTAACATGAAAGCACATCTACTGACTTTGAAATACTTGAACATGAGTAGGAATAGTTCTTCCCCACATATGACAAGTCCTTACCGTAGTGTCACACAGGTATTCCTCTGGTTAGGACCACAATTGAGTCCAAAATATATGTTGCTAAGTGAAACATTTGTTAAATGAGTTTGCCCCAATTTACGACTTTCTTGCCATAGTTGTTAAGTGAATCAATACATTTGTTAAGTTAGTAACATGGTTGTTAAGTGAATCTGGATTCCCCATTTACTTTGCTTATCAGAAGGTCCCCAAAGCTGATCACGTGACCCCAGGGCACTGCAGCCGTCATAAATATGAACCATTTGCCAAGCCTCTGAACTTTGATCATGTGACCAGAGAGATGCTGCAATGGCTGTAAGCATGAAACCATTAATGAATTGTCACTAAACCAACTGTTGTAAGTCAAGGACTACCTATACTAAGTCCCTGGCTAGAGACACTGCAAGTAGAGAGCAAGGAAGGTTGCATTCTCTGTGACCACACATGCCCTATAGAACAGTATCCCTTTGGAAATCCAGGTGGCCTGTTAGCCTTTGGTAAGGCACTGAAGAGCTGTCTGTTCTCCCAACCATAACAGATCGGGCAGGTTTCGCTGCTTTTATGAGGTGGGTTCATTGGTTTGACCTCAGAGGTCGTAGTTTAGATGGTTAAATGAAATACACAGACACATAAACACATGCTTGTGTATGTTTGTATGTATGAGAGCGAGGACATCATCAGTGCTGTCGTTATCCATACACTGGGCATGATGATGTTACCTAGTTGGGTAATGAAATGTCTGCAAGCAAACAACCAAGCTCAGAGAACACCAAGAACTCCACAGTCCCACCCTGAGTTAGATATTCTCTTCTGAGTAGACACTCACAATGTGTCTGTCTGTCTGTCTATCTATTTGTGTATCTATCTGAAAAACAACTCACCAAGGAGACACCAAAACTCTCCTTTTGCTACCATGTTTCCCCGAAAATAAGACCTCCCCGATAATAAGCCCAATCGGGCTTTTGAGCGCATGGGCTAAAATAAGCCCACCCCAAAAAAATAAGCCCTCCCTGAAAATAAGCCCTCCCTGAAAATATTAAAACGCATGTGCAGCCGGTCCCCGCCATTTCCTCTGGTTAGGGCTAGGGAGACAAAGCTGGAAATCAGGTAAGACAGCAAGAGGAGCCCCATCTTGCTCCACACGCCCCAAAATAATAAGACTTCCCTGAAAATAAGGCCACGCACTTATTTCAGGGTTCAAAAAAATATAAGACAGGGTCTTATTTTCGGGGGAACACGGTATTACTTTTACAATTGGTATTTTAACTGTTTACACTAGGGATATTTGAATTTTACTTCCTAATAAATGTTAAATACGAGGTCAGCTGCTTTTCTTGTTTTACAAAACAGCAAGATAAAAATGTAACAAGAATCTATAGATAAGTACAAACCCAGAAGTTAAGTGCACAAATAAGGAAATCTGCCTGAAAGGAAACTTCGCTTACTGTAAATTGTCATTCAAACTATCCAGAGATGATAAATAATAACAAATATCCTATTTCCCAAGATATCCTCATTTAAGCAGTCATAGTATGAATGTTCTACTATTGAAACACTGTTAAGACCTGTATACTCATAATTATCACCTAAGTCCGTGATAGCGAACCTATGACACATGTGCCAGAGGGGGCACGCAGAGCCCCCTCTGTGGGCACGTGCGCTCTCGCCAGCTGCTCTTCTGGTTTCTGGGGTGCCAGCTGGTCTTCACGCGTGCTGGAGTGCCGGAAACCCAAACACGTCTCCGGCATTCCGGTGTGTGCCCACATGCACGCGTTCTGGTTTGGGCACTCGGTGCCGAAAACGTTCGCCATCACTGACCTAAGTATTTTCAACATTATTACTTAACAAAAATACAGGATTGCCTAACAGGGATTCATCAGCTCCAGACAAGGCACCCTTCTGCTTGAAAAGGCAAAGGAAAGCCTGTCCATTACCTCAGGCATGGCTTCAAATAATGTTCTTCTTCGTTTAGTGAATTCCTTCATGTCAGTAAGGATCTCGTGTTTTATTTCAGGAGGCAAGCTCAAGAAATCGTCTGATTCAACATCAACGGAACGAGGGTTTTCCAGCAATTCTTCCTTTGCAGAGGAGGGAGGAGGAGCACAAAAACATTTTATAAAATGAGTGGCATAAGATATGCACATAGATTAGGCAAGGACCATAAAAAGGACTAACCAAACTTCCTTTACCCTGATTGAAGATGGTTTTCTGAAACAAGGAGCAGAATGTACATTAGGAATTTAGTGGATCAGCATTAGAAAAGAGTCCATCCGGTATCAACCTTTGTCAATAAAGTCCAAAGTATACCTCTGGTATATGGGGTGGGGGGTGGGGACTAAATCGCAGTGTTTTCAGATTAAAGAACAAATCTGCCCCTTATGTTTTCATTAAAGTCTGAGACAAAATTTGCCCTTCTAAGAATATTTTTTATTATTATAAGAGGAAAAATCAGACAAACTTTAGGGCATCTCTGATGCCATGCCAAAGACCACAAGATGAAAGTATCTATGAGATATAGGGTCTTCCTGCATATATAAGGAGGAAAAGCCAAGAGATCTGGCTTGTTATCACCAGGATCTTTGAAAAATCAGTTTCTACCGTATTTGTCCTCACAAATCTTCCTCTATGAGCTTCCCAGGAATACTTGGTTGACCATAATGGGAAGACGCTAGAGTAGATTGGACAAAAAATATATAATTATAGCAAACATGATTAATGAAGTCATTAGAGTCAGCATAAAAACCTTGTTCCTCCTGATTTGCAGCTTAATCCCTTTTTGGCACACTATCCTGTCCTTATTAATTGCATTATGAAAGTTAAGTTTTTAAAAAATCCAGTATTTTATAGCTCCGAAAGTTTATGCAGAAGTTCCTTACCTACAGATTGCAAGCACTTCCCCTTTCCTCAAAATTCTTCTCCATTTATGCTATTGCCTGAATCCTGAAGCACAATAAACTGAACTTTGGACACTTTCCAAAATAGAAATAAATTTTATTAAATTTCAGACAGCATCACAAGCCTCTGAAGTTGCCTTTTAGAGGGTTAAACCTCTGTTTCAACGAGACCAGTATTGTCTGCTCTGTCTAGAATGAGCTTCCAATGATCTCATGCTAAAATCTTTAACTGTTCCACTGCTTTTAAAATATGTAATCGTCTTCTAACTTACAACCACACAGCAAGCCAAGAGCTCCGCTTCAAAAATGAGCATGCTCAGGACAAAACTACAGGTAGTCCTCAACTTAAAACCATTTGTTTAGTGACCTTTCAAAATTACAACGGCACTGAAAATAGTGACTTATGAACGTTTTTCACTCTTATGACCATTGCAGCATCTTTGATCGTGTGATCAAAATTCAGATGCTTAGCAACTGGCATGTATTTAACATCTCGAGGTGAAGTGATCACCTTTTGTGACCTTCTGACAAGCAAATCAATGGGGAAGCCAGATTCACTTAACAACCGTGTTACTAACTTTACATTGCACTGAATCACTTAACAATTGTAGCAATAAAGATTGTAAAATGAGGCCAAACTCACTTAACAACTGTCTTGCTGAGCAATGGAAACTTTGGACTCAATTATGGTTGTAAGTTGAGGGCTACCGGTATGTTCATTTTAACTATAACTGAAGTAAATGTAACTAAACACAGCTAACGTTGGTTCCTCCACATATGTAATACGTATCCTGTCATTAAAAACAACCATTTGGAAGCAACTTTTGGAGCCATCTGAGAGAATCCCACTGAAGTCATTCAAGGCTTATAGATCTAGCATTATGTACAATGCGAACAACCACAGTTAAGAGAAATTGTGGCTTCAAATTCTGGCATATTAGAGGAACCATGATTCCTGACCCAAAATTAAATAAGCCATGGGAATAAATTATTCAAAGTTCTAGTTTACTGTGCCATGTAAAGTGGTCTAGTGTTTTTCAGTGTAGCATATAGACCCCTTGATCCTTATAAATCACAGGGAGTTAGGCAGCAAATAAATGCAATAACTTTTAATATTATTATGTTTGGTCATACAGTCAACCAATTGCTTAGACTGGATTTGACGTTTCAAACGGTTAATGAAGTTTTTGGGGGGGAAACAGTTTAGTATGGGTTTGATTATTATTATATACACAATGTGAAGTCACAGCTGCCAGCTCTTTAGCTGGTGTTGGCCTTCACTCGCACTGAGTTCTTCCAAAGAATCTAGGGTGCCATAATGTATCAGCATAATATATCTACAAATCCAGTGTGGCTGTTTATAAATGATAGATGGAAATTTGGCCAATATGGAGATTTTCTAAGTACTGTTCAAGATCTTTTGGTATGGCATCCAGTATGCCAGAACCTCTGGTATCACCATTATTATTACTATCCATTTGTTTTCAAAGGATTGCAATGTAATATAAAATATATAGGGGCCTTACTTGCAATATTTTCTTCTGGGTCATCCTTTCTTCCCACTCTTTTTCATCTTCCTCTTCCGAGCTAGGCCATAAAAATACAGAACTAGTTTGCTAAATGTCAAAATTTGTCCACAGAAAACAAAAGACTATTTTAGATTCTATTGCTTCTTAATGTTTACATAATAATCTAATTTTTAAAATTTGTTTCACTCACCTATTTTTTTTATCTTCTTGTAAGGCAGGGAGCACATAAATGTCATCCACCTCTTCTCTTCTCACCTCTGCAAGACTAGGAAATTCAGCATTGCTGGGAATACAAGGGTATTTCATGTTAGGGAAACCAAAATACTTAAAAATTGAAAGTTCCCATAGGCATTTATAAACAGAGGTTTATAAATAAGGTTGTTCTTGCCTCTTGCCTGCTAAAGCAGCCTTGATTGCTTGTCGTTTCAGGAAGGTTTTCAAAAGCTTCTCCTTGGTTTTCTTTGAATCTGTGACTGCAGCTTCTTTTTGCTGCTTTCGTTTAGCCTGCAATAGCATTGAGTAAAATACTTTGTAGTCACTGCTTTTATTAAAGCCTTTATTTGTCTCTCACCTTGTTGCTAGCAAGGCTGCCCCAGTAACTTGGAGATAAAGAAAAGGCAATTCTTGTCCTCGGAATTACCACTTTAAAAACACAGAGAAGAAAAAGGATTGGGAAGAGTCTATGGAAAAAGGGATATTCAGCTACTGATTCTTAATGATACACAAATCTTGTAATTACTAGAAGAGATTAGTGAATAACCCCACTGAAGTGGAAATTGCTCGGAGGAAAAGCCCCCAATTAGTGGTGGCTCATCTGGATGAGGGCATGACCCTATTCCATACTGGAATCCTAATGTAATCATTGTTGGAAGAAGCAGCAAAGCCCAATGAAACTAAATTCGCTGTGGTAATTTTCCTAAATTTAATTTTCATTTCAATGAAGACAGTAGATTAACAAGAGCCTTTCTTTTTAAAGTATTTCTTAGATTGCTGACTGTGACTGTGGAAGACAACTGTACTGGTCTGGAGATTGAAATTACTGATCTTTCTATGAGTCCCTGTATCAGATCACTTTTCTTCTGCATCCTCTTGCACAGTCTGGCCATGTAAGCTTTAGATTTCTTAAAGAAAGCCTTCGAGAACTTCTTTCTCCCTCTGCCCCACCCTACATCTTCTGATGTAGCCTAGTTTAAGAATATTCTTTCTTCTTTCTAGATAGGCAGCATATAAATGTAATAATGGTTCTGCAACCCAACAAGACTTCAAAGGATAATTAGAACCGCAGAAAAAACAATTGCTACCAACCTGCCTTCCATTGAGGACCTGTATACTGCACGAGTCAAAAAGAGGGCTGTGAAAATATTTAGACCCCTCGCATCCTGGACATAAATTGTTTCAACTCCTACCCTCAAAATGACGCTATAGAGCACTGCACACCAGACCAACTAGACACAAGAACAGTTTTTTCCCAAACGCCATCACTCTGCTAAACAACTAATTCCCTCAACACTGTCAAACTATGCACTAAGGCTGCATTACTATTACTAATAGTCTTCTCATCGTTCCTATCTCCCATCTCCTCCCACTTATGACTGCATGACTGTAACTTTGTTGCTTGTATCCTTACAATTTATATTGATATTGTTTCCTAATATGATTGCTTATTTGTACCCTATGACTATCATTAAGTGTTGTACCTTGTGATTCTTGACAAATGTATCTTGTCTTTTTATGTACACTGAGAGCATATGCACCAAAGACAAATTCCTTGTTTGTCCAATCAAACTTGGCCAATAAAGAATTCTATTCTATTCTATTCTATTCTATTCTATTCTATTCTATTCTATTCTATTCTATTCTATTCTATTCTAATAAATAAGTGGCTTGCCAAGGTAAGTCACTGGCAGGGAGGTTTTTGTTTTGCTAATGCTCTCTCACATGTTTTGTTAATTGATAAGTAAGAAGCCTATGTAATAAATGCACTTAACCAAAAATATGAGTAATGGTAAAGGAATACTACATAATTTCTGGGACTCCTCCTAAAGTTGAGCTTCTGTTATTTTAGGAATAACGCTATGCTTTAGATGAAATAATCTGGGCAACAGTTTTAAAAAGGATGAGATTCCCGGTTGGTGAGGGATGTGAGATGCTCCTCTACAGAAAGTTGCCATGTTGTGTTTTATTTTTCTGCCTAAAAGTATACTTTTGCTTTGTTTATCAAATTTGTCCCTCCAGTTTCCACCTAATTTGTATATTCATTGTTTTTAAATATGGGCTGGATTTGGGGTTTTGATTTACTGAGGGACAACCCGGAATTCTCAAATTTGGGTTTTCCCAGATGTGCCAGTATACCTACTCTAATAAATGGAAGATTTGAGATGCCTGTCTCGGAGTCTTTGATTCTGGTTAGTGTCAACATTCCAGAACAACCCAACTCCAATCAAAGACTCCGAGATAGGCATCATCTCAAATCTTCCATTTCTTAGAGTAGGTATACTGGCACATCTGGGAAAACCTGAATTTGAGAGTTCCGGGTTTTCTCTCAGTAAATCAAAACCCCAAATCCAGCCCCTGCACCCATCAATCCATCACATGGCCCAATCACCATCCGTCCCAACTTGAGCCACCACTGCAACCACTCCTCCTCCAGATGCAGAAACACCATAACCTTGATCAAAAAGAAGAATGCTATTATGCCTAACCACAATCTCTCTAATAAATTCCCCCTCCTACTGTCCCAAGCTCAAGAAGGTGGCAGCGTGGAAGCTCCTGGTGTTAATATGGCTTCCAAAGCTGACAGCGCCCACATTTTGTTGTGGCAAATCAAGTTATTCCAAAATTAGACCATTATTTTTAAAAGCAAGTAAAGAGGGATTAAATACAATAGTCTGAATCATTAAGAAAACAAGATTTTAATTCCAATCTCTCCTATTCCTTTATTCTATTTTATTTATTCTATTCTAGCAAGTCACACTTGCTAAATTCTCTAATCCTTGGTTTACTAAATTTGTCTGAAAGTAACATGCACTGAAATTAGTAATTCCAATTTCAATGTGGCTTACATACCAAAGTTTGCCTCTTCAATAGAGGAGCTTCTCCATCAAAAACAAAAATGGGGCGGATCCGAAAGAAGAGCAGTTTGCAAAGTCGGCGAAACAATATGAGGAGATGAGCATTATGGATGGAATTCCCATGACGGTCTCTTGCTCCTTTAATAGCTTGATTCAACCAAATACTAATATCTTACGAAAGCATTTAAAGGAAGACAACAGAAAAGCGGCATATACAAAGAAGCATTGAGCTGTTTAAGCATACCAATCATTGATGCTTATATAACCAGCACTTTACAAAGCACACTTTATTACAAAAAGCTTATACTATAAATTTTATTTGGGTTTGAGATGTTTTTCCTTATTTTGCCACTTCTGTATATGAGAGGCTACATCTCTCAGAAGAGCCAGTAGAGCTATCTGACATTATGAGAGTAATATAACTGCTACGCATCATGTTGTGTGCAAATAGGTAGAGAAAAAAAAATACTACACTGCTGTTAATTTTAGCTGATGTGGTAATTTTCCTGAGATCGTAAAACAAATATATCAGGTAAATTTAACAAGAAGACTGAAAATAAAATATTGGCTTTCAAATATTTATTGATTGAAGAAAATCAGCAATTATACATACAATCTATTAAAAAGTTCTTAAGGAAGCTCATTTTTTAAGGATACCAACAGCAAGAATTTTTCCTTCCAATGTTTCTGGGTTTACAGGTCTTCCTGAGCATTCCAGTAACTTCCAAAGCCCGTGAACTCCCATTATTTGTTAGCTAATATAATGAAAGTGAAATCTGTTGGAAGTAATAAAGATATTGATCAATTGCTTATATATTAAATATGACAATCATAACATCTTACTGTATCTAGTATTTGCAGAACTGCAATCTTGCTAGACAATTTAAAAATATTTAACTCAACCTTTTTCCAAACTTGTGCCTTCCAAAGAGATTGTTTCCTTCCCAATTATTAGCCATATTGAACAGTGACAGAGTTAAGAAACCCACAGATAACTGCACAATTTGGGGAAGGCCTGATTTACCTGAACAGGAACTTTAAACAATACCTTTAAACAATACCTATTAAAATGTCAGTTTTTCTACTAAAAACATTATGAAAATAGTACATAGACAGATAAAATAGCTTAATGAAAAAAAACTGGTCAAGAACACCCTTCCTCGCATCATTACCTATAAACCAATAAATCAATAGTTAAATCTTACAAGAAAAGGAATAATACTTATAAAATATTGCTTTCTTCATATATATTTTCATTTAATCAAGCCAATTATGAAGATTGCTTATAAATGAGCAAACATAGTTTTTTAAAAATAGAAATAATCCCTGCACCAACTACAATAGTATCCACCTCAGGATGGCAATCAGAGCTACATGACCTAATCAGCATTAGCATTCACATGAAAAACTGTGTAAAATAAATATATTATAAATAACCGGGTAAAATAAAATTACCCTGCAGTTTTAATAACGTAATTCACTCTCGCTCCATTTTCTCAACAAGATGGCAGTTGACAAGCAGAATAGAACAGTGAAAGGGTTTGAAGTGTATTTTTTAAATTAATCCTGAATTAGCACTGGTCTGAATTATTTAAAAGGTTTATTCCCCCCCCCACAAGGACAAATAAGAGATCTGGTGCCATTAAAGCGCTGGTAAGGCAATTTTTCAGGTAGTCTTGGAAATGCTATCGAATGTCTTCGTTTTAAAGTAGGAAATCCAATCCCAACTCCAATTCTTTTAACTGCCTTGCCTTAACTGCGCAGATACAAACCCTTAACTAAACTGGCTTGCATATTCTGCATTTCTCCTCTGTGCTTTAGGTCTCCTAAGACAAATTCCCCACTGCAATCTTCTTCTTTTGCACTTTTTCCTACAACTCCATAAAGCCATTATGGTCCTTGTGTAATCGCTCCTGCTGCCTTCCTCCCTATCGATTTCCGACACCGAAACCAGAATTCACATGGGCGAAACTTCTAATAAAGGGAATTGCTGCAACGCAGGGCGAAAAAAAAACCAACGAACCTTAATTGGTGTAAAGCGAAGAAGATAAGCTTCTTTGGGGGCGGGGGGGGACGCAGGACGAATCCACCCGGGAACCTAGAATATACAGGGAAGAGCATTCGAAAGCAAAGCGCCGCTCATCCAGCCAGCGCCATGTTATTACGTCACAGACTGCGCTTCCCGCTGGGAAATGTAGTTCTTACACAGAGGCTGTGAGAGTATCAGGACGAGAAATATTCAAGTACTTCTATCGTTTTTGCAATCGCAGCAGAACTGTCATTTCTTCATTCTTTCTCCTGCTGTTCCTTAACATCGAAGGAAGAATTTTGCTGAGAAAGTAGGATCAAAAAGCAACTGGCATAAATTCGTGTGTCCGTCTGTACACTGTAGACACGCACAGTTACCTAGAAATTAGGGTAGAGGTCCAGGTGATTTTTTTTTTAGCAGAAATACTAATTAATGTCATTTGTTACCTCCTTTTCCTGGTTCCCCCCCCCCCCCTTCTTATTCCGAACCTTCTGGCTTTCCCATTCAAACATTACCAGTTTTGTCCTATTTTAAGATCAGGCTAGCAAGCTGTTATGAAAGCCTGAACTACTTCCCAGTAAACATGTGCATTCCTCCTCCCCCTTCCTTTACCATTGGAGAGTGAGATGCTAAGGCTTAAACAAAAACTGGAATCAGAGTAGGGTGTTTTTTTCCCAAGTGTTTCATTTTGTAGAACCCCCCCCCCCAAGAATGAAATATTTTGGGAAATATTAAAAAGGCAGGATAAAATATTTCCCAAAGGAGAAATAAAAAATCTGTAAGGGAGGCAGAAACCAGCCTACCCCCACCTTCCTTATTTCCCTGCCCCAAGCAGAAACTGAGGCCAGCTTTTAGAAATGCAGATTTGGTAATCCATTCAGAAAGACTGGGTCAAGACAGAAACTCAGACAAGCAACAAACAAAAGGTTGACAAAATTAGCTCAGACACCTGGGATTTGCATTTCCTCTTTTGCCTATAGAGCCAGCTATGACCCCTACATAACCCTACATGACCCACATAGGAATCCAGAAGTTATAAAAACCCACTCACTCTAAACTCCATTTTGTCAGCTGCCCAGAACCACAAACCCTGGTGGTTCTGTTCACCAATAAATGGATCTTCTTTCCAATCAGCTTCCAGCCTCAATTTATTTCCAGCATCTTTCTCCCAGCTTGGAACTGTACCAGATGGATTTTCCTTCCAACAATTTCATTGCCTTTAGATTTGAAATGTTAGTTATTTTCCATATAGGTTGTCCTCAACTCACAATCATAATAGGCATTAGAATTTCTGTTCCTAAGCAAAGCAGCTATTAAGTTTGCTCTGCCCAATTTTAGCAACTTTTTTGCCATGGTTAAATGAATCACTGTTGTTAAATGAATCACATGATCATTAAGCAAATCTGACTTCTGCCATTGACTTTGCTTGTCAGAGCTAGTTGGGAAGGTTGCAAATGGTAAAATATGTGCCCAGGACATTGCAACAGATGTAAATACATTCTGGTTGCTAAGTGCCTGAATTTTGATCACATGGCCATGGGGCTGCTGCAAAATGTGAGAAACAGTTATAAGTGTGAGAACAAGTCATAAGTTACTTTTTTAGTGCTCTTGTAACTTCAAACAGTTGCTAAACAAATGCATTTAAATCAGAGACTGCTTGTAATCATTTAATAAGAATAATAAAATGGTTCTAAGCAATGTTGACTTTTAGCAACAGATGGCAGTAAGGAGTTGGAAAAAATTTATTGAGGAAACTACTGAATTAAATATAGCTGAAATTCCTTACATGATTGGGGAAAAGCACTAAAATCAAATAAATGCATTAAAATGTGAAATTTTTCTTCATTATATTTTGAAAGATCTTGGATAAGTGTATATACCAGTCATTGCATTAATTGTTGAGAAGAACATATCAAGAATCTTGAAGAAACTGTTTTACTATCATTATCATTAGATAAAGTTACTGTCATTCATCTATATAATTATTGAAAATAACATTCAGTTTAAACTCTTTGAATGTGAACAACTACCAACCCACTATCTATTCCCAGTATTTTGAATCATCCTCATCTGTAAACCCATTCTGGTAGTATACTATGTTCGCATTTTGTTCTTTAAAATATTTACTAACAATTCTCCATACAGTTAATAATAGTTGGCCTAGAAAGTCTGCACTGAAAAACTGTAGTGACTATCTGATATTACATTTTTTATATGATAAAAATATTACATTATTGATATTACATTATGATATTACATTATTTTAAACAGTTTTTAGATTTTGTATGTTTGTATGTATGTCTTGTTTTTACTTTGGCTGTTCACCGCCCTGAGTCCTACATTGGAGAAGGGCGGTATAGAAATTTAAACAAATAAATAAATAAATAAATAAATTTAATCTGAAGCAAATAAATCCTATTTTTAGATGCAATTCCATTTCTATATCATTATATTGTCATGCCAAAATAGGTTAAAAACTGAAAGACTTTGTAACTACCAAACTAACTTTCACTTTAAAGAACTTGTTTTAAAAGAAAGTTGCTGGTCCCACTTAAAAGATTACTTATTAATTCAAGCATGTTAGTCATTTTAAACAGAAAGGGGCTTAATCACTAAAGTTTAGGCATCATAAATAACATTAACAATGAATAGCTAACTATTGCAATGAGATCAGTAAAGTAGCCTAATACCTACAAAAGCTATTTCTGCAGAATTCCCATAAACTCATAGATGCCAGATACGCTTCCATCTTTTGCTATTTTTCTGTAGTCTTGCAATCATTCTGTTTTAAAGCAGATTATACAACGGCAAAGCTGGGCCGAGAATTGCTCACTCCTCTTAATAATTGTTTATGCTACAAATTGTTAATTAGATTGAATACTAAGATTTTTGTAACCAACAATATTGTCATTGCTGACTGTTTTATAAAGTTTAGAACAGATAAAGTTAAGCTCCTTCCAAATATAACAAAGATGTTACCATTTTATGTTCCCCAAATGCTCTTGGGCTTTAACAGCTGTCACTTTACTCTTCAACAGGGATTATTAACCTGATGTCAACAGATCCCTTGGGGAAGGAAGGATACCTGCTTTTTTGTCCATGGAGAAAAAATTACAACCATATTTTCACCAACTTCTAACAAGTTTAATTTTTCATTCAATAGCATATGCAAATAAAGTAATTCCTGGCTTCCAGAATTCCAAAAACATCAGTCAACATCCCTAATTCCCCTGAGCAAATAATATAAACCATAGGAACCAATGATAAAACTCTGTCATATTTTATTCTTTTCATAAGCTGTTTTCTTCAAAGCTTATAAATGTAGGACTTACACAGCAGGCTTTCTGAATGTGTTCCTGTTATGTTTGTTAATCTTCAAAGATTAACAAAGATCCTTGCTTGAATCTATACTTATTCTTCCTTTCAGACATGCTGCACCTGTTTTATAATCATTCAACTGTTCATACAGTATTGAAAACAACTTTCATTAATTGAGGCTAAAAAATCCTTAGAAATTAGGTTCCTTATTTTAAACTTGGTTACAACCTCAACCATGCCCATAATGCAGCTGGCTGGCTATAATTGCCATATTACTTTTCCTTTCGCTGTTTATTGTGTTATGCCAGAGACCTGTTAACTAGCCGGAGAGATTAATTATGGAAGAGGAAGATCTCCTCTCTTGCACATCTGTACACTCGCAGACTCAGTCACGAGGCAGGTTACACAGATTTAAATATTTTACTGTAAAACGTTTTCTACTCAAAACTACAGCTTCCGTTTCAATCCACGAAAACGCTCCTGGGAATTTCCAGTCTAATCGTTCGGATGCTTCGAGATATGCAAGTGACGATGACGAAGCCAGGCGGGTTCTGCCCGATACGGTCGCGCTCAACTCATCCGGGGAAGAGCCGATGGGGAAAGATCTGCCTTGGCACAGAAACCCCACCGCCACCACCGCAGCAAAAAGGCGCCTAACCTAACCCTTCCTCCTTTCTTTCAAAGGACTCGCGCCCCCAACACGCAACGTGGGAAGCGGCAACCCAGGTCATCATTTCGGCAAACGTGTCGAGCCAGGCTTTATGAGGGTCCCGGGAGAAAAGTAGCGGAAAAAAGACTCGAACTGCGCCAGGGAGCCTCTTCTGGCTCCCCTTGGGAGCCCCTCACGGGCGCGCATCCCGGCGCTTCCCTCCATTGGCCGAACCCCCACTTCCCAGCCGGCGTTTTTCCCGCCACCAAGAGCTCGGCTATCCCCAACCCCCCCCTCCCCTCCCCTCCCAATACCAGCCCTGGCCGAGGCTGCCCCCTAGGAGAAAAAAAAAAAGCGTTGGAGTAACCAGAGGAGAAAGGGAAGTGACCTCACAATGGGTCTTTCCCGCCCAATCATAAAGCCCCTGCTTTCGCCGCCCAATCGTAGCCCACGCCCGCCAGACCGCAGCCAATGAGCGCGCGGCATTCCGGCGCCGGCAGGAGGGGTTTGTCTAGCCGGGAGGGAGGGGAGAGGTTCCCAAGAGCTCGGCAGTGGCGGCGGCTCCGCCTTCCTGTGGTCGGTGCGCGGCCTCGCGTCCCCTTCTTCCTCCTCCTCCCCGCCCGGCTGGCCCCTCTCTCTTCGGCAGCCATGGCGGTGGCAGCGGAGCAGGAACAGCAGCAGTTCTACCTCCTTCTCGGCAACCTGCTTAGTCCGGACAACGTCGTCCGCAAACAAGCCGAGGTGAGTGGCTCGCGTGGCTCCCGCTATGCCCGTCCTCTCCCTCCGGCCGCCGCCGCCGCCGCCGCGCACGAGGTTTCGCCTCCTGGCCTTTGCCTGTCAGCAGTGGACGCGTCGCGGAGGGCCTCCGCCGGGCCCACGTGCTCCGGCCAAGCCGGCGGCCGTTACAGCCGTTGGCCCGGGAACTAAGAACACGGCTCGGGGGAGGAGAGAGGCCACCAACTGCTCTTCCCGCTAAACTCCGGCCGGGTCTTCTCCTCCGCCTGTTCTCTTTCGCCCATCCTCGGCTCCGATCCCCCGGTTCTCTCCACCCCACCGATCCTTATGGAGGCTTTCTCTCCCCTTCCCTCCGATGGGGCTTCTTCCACTGGTCCGCTGGCCTTTCCCTCCCCGCGCAGAGCCGGCTTCTCTCCTGCTGGATCCCCATTTTCTCTGCCTTTCCCCAACTCTTCGCGGCCC